GGATGATGGTGGACTGCAGGGCTGTCAACTAAGGGAAGGTCAACAACAAGAACATTGCCATCCCTTTAGGAGAACATATGCGCGAGGCAGGGTTGCGGCACGCATACAACAGATATAAGGGTCAAAATAGTCAACAACGGGATCAAGTGTTGCATGCGGGAAGCGGCTACAAAAGCTCATGCTACTTCCCCGCCATGTCACCGTGTAGCGCGGTTCCTGTTCTAGGCGGGTTGTAGCCAAGATATGACTACCTTTACCTTTGAGATTAGCTTGTGAAACCATGGACTCCTTTTCTGAAAAGGTGTACAGCAACATCTCCGTTTCTGATGGTTAGCAGCAGCAAAGAGGAAACACGGAAAGGGTCCCTTCTGTTTATATAACGAACCACGATCGAACGTCGGTGGTGAGATAACATGCGCTTGTCCCTGTTTCAGGCAAGCGGTGCTGCATCAGTGACGGTATGACGTTGGCTGGGATTGAGACTTTGAGGCCGATCCCTTTTACCGACGGTTTGACATTGCTCTGGCACTGGAGATGTCCAGAGCGAATTGATAGCGATTGCTGTATTCGCACTGAAATGGGCGATTGGCAATTGTGAACGTGAAATGAGAAGCCCTTTGAAGCCATTGGGAGTATGCTCCACAAGAAGCAGCCAGCAGATCGGTCACATCGGTCACATTCTGGAAAAAAAAAAACAGCATCTTGAAGTAACCCCGCGCCAATTGCATTACATACGAGAGCTTCACCTCAAATTTCGGGCAACAGCCAACTGAGTTCTTGTCAGAACTGTCTGGGCTCTGAAGGAAGGAAAGAAGGCAGCACGAGAATCATCCGTCATTATAGTGGAGTTCCTCATCGTTATCGTGACTTTGTTTCCACTGAGCCTCAGCCGAGAAATGGTCCAACGGGAAAGCACGATCGGCCGAGGACTACCGGACCCGGACCCAGCAAGCGGTCACGATGCGTGGAAGTACCCGTAGCTCCATTTCCCGTAGCATCGTGACTCCGACTCCCGGTCTTGAATTCCGTCTCTGCAACAACTCCAACTTTCCGCTTCCTCCAGTCCTGTTCTCTCTCCAATTGCACTCACACCACCAGCTATTGCACACCTCTGCACACTCCGAGTCCCGCCATACTTGTAACCGTCACAAGCCACCACCAGTTCCAACACCAATCGAGCAGTGACGGAACAGTGCATTGCTAACACACACAACGCTGCATTCATCGTCGAACCCCGCAACCAACTCGGGCAAGCCTCACTGCATTGCACCCAGAGACTGTCACAGTCCAAGCCTACCCAGTCACCTCGAGCTCCAATCTCTCCAGCTTCTTGTGTCCCGGTCACACAACGTCAACTACCTACCCTTCAACTTCCCACTCGACGGGAAGTACCTTACGATAAGCAAACCGGCATCGCCTGCCGTCTGTCGCCTGTCGCCGTCCATCGGTCAATTGTCACCCGACTAGGGAATAGGAACACCCTCGGCACCAACCAATCCCTATTTCCCTTCCCCTCTTCGTCGATCAGGCCCCTGGCCCTTGAATCCGGCCTTAAACTTGTACATTCGCCTTTCTCCCGACCCGTTCCACCATCAGAAAAAGCTCGATCATCGCACGGAGCCACCCATTGAGAGCTATACAGGGAGAAACACCGTTTTCTCACCAGACCGAGAAGCACGCGCGGGGTGGGGTGTCTTTGACGGACCTTCGCCAGCCGGCATCAAGGCCTTTTACAACCGTGCCCAGGACTTTGGTCTCGATCGACGAGACCACTGTCTAGCCGGACGGGCCTCTCCCGACTTAATCCCCGGCAGAGGGCAGTCCTCCGTTTTGCAAATTACATACGAGATTAGAGCTACGACAAGGGGCGACTTCGCGCGCCAAGAGACTACCAACAAATATGCGCGCGACAGCGACCCTTCAAGCTACCGATAACGCCCTCCTCGACGACAGCAGTATATCGAACAATGGCCCAGCCGCTGGCCACCGTCTCCTTGCACCATCTTTTCCCATCATGTCTCAACAGAGCAACAGCCAGGAGAACAGCACATCGCTGAAAGGGAACTCTAGAGACGGCTCAAACGGGGGCACCGGCACCAGCACGAGCAGCCTCACGAATGCCGGTCCTAGCAGCGATGGGCAGTTTTGGAACAGCACACAACGGCTGGCAAAAAAGTACCGCACCGAGGTTGCCGCTTCGGCCTCGAGCGTGCTGTCCACCATGTCCACGTTCCCCCTTGATAGCGTCAAGACACGGATGCAGACGTACAAATATGCCGGCTTTGTCGACTGTGTAAAGCAGACATATCACACCGAGAAGCTCAGGGGCTTCTTTCGAGGTAGGTTATTGCGCCTTTCCCGGCATCTTGCCCGGGGTTAATAGTGCCTATTTCCTGACTTTTGCCATGAATGACTTAGGCGTCACGGCTCCGATGCTCAGCATAACTGCGGTACGGACTGTGTCGTTTTCCATCTATCAGCGCTCCAAATACGCATATAGTGACTGGGTCAAACGTAACTTTGGCTTTGATGTCATGAAACATGTCGCCTCCCACGGGTCGTTGCCCAATTTCTGGACTGTTGCCACCTTTGGCGCCGCCGGCGCAACGGCCGGATCGTGCATAACTTTGATAGCTTGTAAGTCTGTGTCAAACAATCGAAGAACCTCCTTCAGAGGAGTCCTTGAAAGCGAAAGCTAACGCCGTGCTTCTGCAAATGCTATAGGCCCATTCGAGTTGACTAAGCTCAGCGCGCAAGTCTCAGTCCTGATGGCGGACAAGAAGAATTGCCTAAAACCGGGAAGCCATGCCATTGCCGCGAGTTACCAAAACAAGGGAACTCTAAAGACAATGGGAAACATTGTGAAGCACCGAGGGCTAGGAGGTCTCTACACAGGATTCGGCTTGCATTTGAGTGAGTAAACCTCCGCGAGCCTGTAGTTTTGGAAGATACTAACTAGGCCGGATGTAATAGCCCGAGATACCCTCGGTACCGCCATGTACTTCATTACTTACGAAAGCAGCAAACAGCTACTTACTACTTTTGGCGGTGATGGCACCCATAACAACCCTTTCGCAGTGTTGATCGCCGGTGGCATGTGCGGAATAGTCTCTTGGGCGCTAATCTGTAAGCTGTGGTCCCCGATTATTATTATGTTCAAGCGAAACTAACAGTAGAACCTTTCTTTAGACCCCGTCGACTCGGCGAAGAGCATTTATCAACGCAACTCGCTCATGTATTCAAAGGGTGAAAAGGTCGAGCCGGTCAAGATCCGCTTTTTCCAACGAAACATGTATCGCGGTCTTGGTGTATCAATGGCTCGGTCTTGTGCTGTTAACGCTGTCTTCTTCTCGTCGTTCGAATTCCTGAAGAAGCGCATCAAGGCGATGGAAGACCACTAACATCATCGCTACACAACCCAAAAAAGGAACGGCTACCATCGGCGAATGGTATCTGTCGAGTCTTGTGCAACAACACCCATTAGAGGTGCATGTTGCTGGGCATGGGTCACAACAGTCGATACCCTGAGAAGTTGGGCATTATTTAATGGGACAGTGTATAGGGGAGAACCTGTCAGGGTAACACATACAAATCATGTCTGCATATGGGCTTTGCGGAACGAAGCTGCATACAGCAGATACGCAAGATGTGTCTTGCGAGGGATAGCATCTGGGCCGATCTCCATTGCTAAGGAGGTTCTTATTTCTGGGGTTCATCTCAAAGGGTCTACCTAAGGGGAAGGGGATGGTGGGTGCATATGACAGTGACAAGCTTGTCTCTGGAACGGCGTTTTTTGTTTTTGTTTTGGTCGAAGCGAAGTGCTCGGGGGTATCTCCCGTCCCACTCAGCAGACTTGGGACGGGTGTGTTATTGATCGGCTCTGCTCATGAAACAGACGTTAGAGGAAGGATCTTGGAGTATCTCAGCGAGTGCAATGAGAGAGATTAAAGACCAAAAACAATGTCCTGGCTCTGGCTGAGTTTCACCATTTTGTCTGTCTATTTGTACGATGTCGCAGAGCTAAGAACTTCATGCGATGGTACAGCTACTAAAGAAACTAAGCATTGGGCTAGAAATCTCCGGCCTTGGCAGCTTTGGGCTTGTCCAGAGGGTCCGTGCTTGGGCTTGGAATTTGGTACTTCAGCGTGGCAAGGTTAAACCTCATCACCTTCACTGTACAAATAGTTGACGCTATAAAGTCCAGCAAAAAGAAAAGTGCAGGGTATAATCCCAATCGTATCTCTGTTCTTGTTAAACCCAAGCAGAAAGAAAGCCGACATCCATTGGTATGGTTTCTTGTTTTGAACTTGTATCAGTGGCAAGACAACCTAGTAGTGTAGATGGTTAACGCTGCTGTGCGCCTATCAAACCCTAACCCTTGTCATTTCACAATTTTTCATTCCCTTTCTTGGTGAACTTACACTCACTTCACCTTCCCGTCCAACCTCACTCCATCCTTTGATTTTCAGAACAAACTCATCAGCCCTCAGTTGCCGCCGCCACAACACAGCAACGGGCACTTTCCACAAAATGCCTGGCCGTGCCAACCTACGGCATGGCATCGACCGCGATGTCTACCAGCTCGTCCTGAAACTGGAGATCGAGGAGGAAGACAGGCGAGAGGCCATCATCGAGAAGGAAGGCAAGAGCAGCAAAAACCTGTCGAGCAGGCGAGGGCTCACGGTATCATCCGTTTACGACTCAATAAAACGGTCAAACTCGAGTCTGGCTCGCCAAAAGAAGAAACTACTGGAGGACTCGATCGAGCGGGTGCTCGACCTACGACGAGAGGAGGCCAAGAAGGATGCGGTCGAGGATTCAGACGATGCGATTGAGGCGGCGGAGGAGGCCGAAGCGGCCAAGAGAAGCAAGTCGGCTGAAGCGACGGCTACAGGGTTTTTGAACAAGCAGATTGCGAAGGCGTGGGGCCTGGCTCCGCCCAAGCTGCCTGTGGCGATTGCAGTGGGTGGTGAGGGCGCGGCGGTTGTGGAAAATGGCGGAGGGGAGGCGGGTGTTGCTGGTGAAGGGGGGGCTGGTTCGGTTCTACAAACGCCCGGGCCTGGAGCGGTTGCTGCTGCTGCTGGATCATCTGAGAGACAGGCGAATGGCGAGCCTAGGGGGAAGAAGAGGAAGGCCGAGAAGATCTCGAAGGAGAAGGAGGTCGACAGGTCGCCTCCCACGGGCATCTCCATCAAAGACATTGCCGGTGTGGATGACACCCTGGACAAGCTTCTGCACGAGGTGTGGTTCCCGCTCTGTGCGGGTGAAGCCTGCGCCAAGATGGGATACCGTTACGACAACGGCGTGCTCCTCCACGGCCCCTCGGGTTGCGGCAAGACCACGCTTGCTCACGCCGTCGCTGGCAGTGTTGGCGCCGCCTTCATCCCCGTCTCCGCGCCTTCCATCGTCGGCGGCACCTCGGGCGAGTCAGAGAAGAACATCCGCGATGTCTTCGACGAAGCTATCCGTCTCGCCCCGTGCCTCGTCTTTATCGACGAGATTGACGCCATTGCTGGCAAGCGTGAGAGCGCCAATAAGGGCATGGAGGGCCGTATCGTGGCAGAAATCATGAACGGCATGGACCGCATCAAGCAGCAAACCCCACTCGGCAAGAACGTCGTCGTCCTGGCCGCCACCAACCGTCCCGACTTCCTCGATCCTGCCATTCGCCGCCGCTTCAGCGCCGAGATCGACATGGGCATGCCCAATGAGCGCGCCCGCGAACACATCCTCAAGTCCCTCTCCCGCGACCTCAACGTGGCCGACGACGTCAACTTTGTCGAGCTCGCCAAGCTGACCCCCGGCTATGTCGGTTCCGATCTGCAATACGTTGTCAAGGCCGCCGTGTCCGAATCCTTCCGCGGAAGTCTCGACGCCCTCCTCGAAAAGGCGCGCCAACTGCGCGCTGCCGCCGCAGAAGCCGCCACTGCCGCCATCACCTCCGAGTCTCCCGAAGACCACGAAGAGCAACAAAAGCAGATCCAGAAGGAGCTCGACGACACCCTCACCGGCATCTCCCAAAAACAGCGCGACTGGCTCCTCCTTGAGGACCACCGCCAAGCTTCGTGGTCCGACAGCTGCATCACCATGGCCCAATTCCGCCTCGCCGTCTCTCGCGTGCAGCCGGCCTCCAAGCGCGAAGGCTTCAGCACCATCCCCGACACCACATGGGCGCACGTGGGCGCTATGGACGAAGTCCGCAAGAAGCTCGAGATGAGCATCATCGGCCCCATCAAGCGGCCCGAGCTGTTCACCAAGGTGGGCATCAAACCCGCCGCCGGCATTTTACTCTGGGGCCCGCCCGGTTGCGGCAAGACTTTGGTCGCCAAGGCTGTAGCCAACGAGTCCAAAGCCAACTTCATCTCCATCAAGGGCCCCGAGCTGCTGAACAAGTACGTGGGCGAGTCCGAGAGAGCAGTCCGCCAGCTTTTCGCGCGCGCCAAGTCCTCGGCCCCCTGCATCCTCTTCTTCGACGAGATGGACGCCCTGGTGCCCAAGCGCGACGACTCGCTCTCCGACGCCAGCGCCCGCGTCGTCAACACCCTGCTTACGGAGCTCGACGGCGTTGGCGACCGCAGCGGCATTTACGTCATTGGCGCGACGAACAGGCCGGATATTATTGACGAGGCGATCAGAAGACCGGGCAGATTGGGCACGAGCATCTACGTTGGGTTGCCGAGTGCGGAGGATCGCGTGGATATTCTCCGCACGCTTTACAGGAACTCGATTGCGAGGGCCAAGGCTTCGCAGGCGGCTGCTGCCCCTCGTCCTACGCCCACTCCTGCCGCGGGAGCGGGAGACGCGATGGACATCGACGGCGGCTCTGGCTCTGTTCTGCCAGGCCAACAAACGCCCTCGGCCACGGCGGCCGCCATGGACGAGACCATGCGCGAGGCCGAGAAGCAGTTGGAGCGTGTGGCGCTCGATCTGCGCTGCACCGGTTTCTCGGGTGCCGATCTGGGCAACCTGATGCAGGCGGCTGCCCAGGCTTGTCTGGAGAGGGCGTACTTGAGCCAGATGTACCAGTCTGATAAGAAGGGTGTTCAAGTAGAGGAGGAGACTCTGGTGACGGATATGGTGGCTAACCCGGTCATCACGCCGGAGGACTGGGAGAAGGCGCTGAATGAGGTCAAGCCTAGTGTGAAGGATCCGGAGAAGTATGTGGATATTGATTAGAAGATGGGATTACAAGTACGTGGCGTTCTACGGTTATAAAAAATGGTTTTAATGTTTGATTATGTTTGATGTATCTTTGTTTGGGTAGCGGAAACGAGAAAATTGCCAAGTACAAAGTTCGCGAGTCGTTTTGTGTCTCGCAGAGGTAGAAGATAAAGCCGTCAAATCGCAAGAACCATTGAACTTTTTGGTATATGTACGTTATCGCGTGAGCGGAGATGCTATATAGTCTTTTAAATACAGTCAGACACGACAACCCAACTCCCCATTGCTCATACCATTGCCATCAAATCTGAAAGACCCCTGCCGTATCCTCCAAGGCCCCAACAGCCGGCCAGTGATCACCTTCGTCCTCAATTTCGAGTGACTAGTTATCAGGCACAAACCACATCACCACCAGAAACGCGCTCAGGGAAGAAGGGTAATAAGGGGGAATGGGGTATTTCTTCGTAACTTCATACAGAGGAGGATGAGGATATCATGGTCGTCGAAAAGAAACAACCAAGGATCGCCGAGCACAAGTCGTCTAGTCTATGGTACAACAACGAAGAGGGATGTGCCAAGCCCGTCTAATGCAAAAATTCTCCCTTTTTATTAATACAATCCCATAACTCCTCAATAACAACGCCCATCATCAAACAGATTGCATTTAAGCAGTAGCCTCCTTCATGAAGCTGTTGGAGGGGAAGGGATGAGTTAGCGTTGCATGTCCTTGAGTAGTATCTAAAGGGGAGTAGCGCATGACGTACGTGATGATGTCGTTCCTGTCCTTGTCCTTCTTGAGACCACCGAAGGCCATCTTGGTACCGGGGATGTACTTCTTGGGGTTCTCGAGGTACTCGAAGAGAGTGTTCTCGTCCCAGGTGATGCCCTTCTGCTTGTTGGCATCGGTGTAGGCGTAGCCGTCGACGGAGCCGGTCTTGCGGCCGAAGAGGCCGTGGAGAGCGGGGCCGATCTTGTTGCCGCCGCCAGCCTCAAGGGTGTGGCACTGAGCGCAACGGGTCTTGAAGAGGTTGGCACCCTTCTTGGAATCACCTGTGAGCAGACAAGGTTAGAACGGCTGCTGTGTACCGGGCACGATAGCAAAGCGCGGCTCTGATCATTCTATTGTTGTCTCGGTGGTCTCGATCTTGACTGTTGTCGTCATGATGGGTGGCCAGCAGCGGGAACTTGGTGGCCGGAGGTCTGGCAGATGGTGTTGAGGGAAATACATCATGGACAAGACATGCTCCGTAGCGTTGAGCCGACGTGGCCAAGCTCCTGTCCGTCGAGTAATCGGGTTTGCGACACAAGGAGAAAATGCCGCGTGACTATGGCGGCCGGAGACAGACGATGTCGGGATCGCGAAACGAGGACATGCTCGAGGTGTCCGGCTCATGGAGGTGCCGGAGAAGCCACGACCGAGCGGTGCTGGCCTCTCCAACTCATGGGGACGTCGCGAGCACCCAATGGCTCAACCAGTGAAGCTGAAACTGGAGGACGGGTGGATGACGTTGACGAAACCGGACCGCCGAGACAACACAAGAAAGAGAGCGCATGCGCATCATGGCGTGGGTGAGGACATGAAAGTGGGAGACATACCAGGAGCGAAGCCCATTTTGACTGATTGGTTTATGAGGAAGCGTTAAAACCACAAAGGTGTATAGGGAATACTGGAAGTTGAGATGACTGAGGACAGGAAGGGGGAAAGGAAGAGGAAGAAAAAGCTCCGGTGAGGCGTAAGAAATAGTAGGAACAAAAAAGTTGCAAACCAAGACTGGAAATGACAGATCCCGGCCACACGGCGCCAGTCACGTACCGGGAACGTACCTGGGTACCGTCTTGCAGCGTGCAAGCCCACCGACACTCACTGTCTCCAGAAGCTGACACGCTGAGGATCTTGATCCAACTTTTTTTCCCTCAATGCACTCATAGCTGGCAACCACTCGCTGGCAACGCCCTCCAGCCAATCCCGTGTGCCATTCGCAATCCCGAGCACCTTCGTTGACGATGACCTTGGCCAAGACGTGGACGAGAGCCACAGCCTGAGGCTGGAGAAGGCGGGTCTCACACACCACATTGGCCAATGACGTGCCCAACGTTAGTCAGAGGCGCTCATCGACGGCCATCGCTCCCGGGTCAGGGACGGGCAAAGTCGGAAATGGCCCCACAGGAGCCACAGTGATTTGCGGACAGACGAATCGTGCCTGAAAGAACTGCGAAATCGCGATCCGAATTCCAAACCACAATAAAACGGCCCCGCGCTAGCCCCATCAGGTTTATGCGGCACGCTAGCGACAATTTTTTGTGTCATGTTGGGCGTCATCCGATTGACCGATTGAGCCGCAAAAGGAACCACGTCCGACTTCTGGCACCTTCCGACCCCGACCGCCCGATTTAACGCACCCGGCCATCCACGTCGCCGCCGGGGAATCCCACCTTCGCGATCCGGCAGCCCGACCCCACACCACACAGCGGTTGTACGGTACCAAAACACAAGCGCATCAACACCAAACACCAATCTTGACTCGAGTAGCTCTATCACTGTAGCTACGTAGCTGGGTGCACATAGAAACCAGAAGGAGAAAACAAATAATACAAGCCATGCCATCAGCAACCTCCACCATGATCCCCCGCTTTCTCCTCCCGCAATACGGGCGCATCTGGCAACGATCCACCCAAAAGCTTATCCAGCGCCGTCTCGCATCCACAAAGTCAACAGCGGAAGCAAACACAACGCCATCCGGCCAACGCGTCCTCGAGAAGCCCGAGCGCTTCAACCCTCCTTCGCACGGCTCCCGACTTCCCAACAAGAAGAACCTCCCGCGGCACTATGGCGGCGACCTCAGCTTCCAGGAGAAGCAGGCTCAGGCGCAAAAGGAATACCCGGGCCTGATGCCCCGCGAGGGAACGTTTGGATGGTGGTTCTTGAATAACAAGTGGTTTCACATGTGCTTGACCCTGGTATGTACATATTGATTCCATCCACCTCCCCCCCCCCCCCCCCCCCCCTTCTTCCCTTCCACGGCGGCCCAGCTCCCCAAGCTCCCAGAAACAAAACTAACACAAAGACCAAAAAAGGGCTCCCTCTTCTCCCTAGCCATCTACACGGCAACCGAAAACTTCAAGCGCACCTCCCCCTTCGCTGACATGCTCCCCGCCAAGGGCGACTTCTTCAGCCACCCCATCGACTCCTTCAGCCACCTGGGCCATGTCATCCGGCTGCACGAGGCGCACAAGTCCGCCGAGCTCTCGGCCAAGAGACAGCGGGCTATCGACGACGTGGCCAAGCGGACCATGTATAGGAAGGCGCACGGCCTGCCCGAGGAGCAGGGCGTTTTGGGCCTCATCAAGCTGAAGGAGCCGGAGCGGATTGCTAGCGTGTCGAGGGGTGTGCTGGAGCCGGAGGCGGCTACTGCGCCTGTTGCTAAGGAGGTGGGGCAGAAGCAGGAGCAGCAGTAATGGGCCGTTGGTGACTTGAGGCGGGGATGAAGGTGGTGCAAGGGACTTGCGGCTTGGGGTAGGAATGAGGCGTGGGTGGTTATAGCGTGGTAATAGCGCTGTAATTCCGATTTCGCTGCTTCCCGGCTGTCTCGAAAGAAGAAGGTGGGATGGAAAGAAGTAAGGATTAGGGGAGAGGAGACGCTCGTGATGACTATGTGTACGATTATGTGTTTACTAACGACTTAGAACGGGCGGGCAACAGGCACGGAAAAGCAAGTTTAGCGTTAGACTTGGGAATAGGGGTATCTTGATTTTGAGTATCATCAAACTTCCATTCTCTCTTGCTCCCCAGGCACGCCATGTACAACAGCTCTGAGTGTGGCTGACGAATGCTCCCGCAATGTATATGATGATACACGAGTTGATGCGCCTCTTTCGGTATCACGTACACATTGGGTCTATGTGCCCACACGGTAACCGGTCAAGAAGTAGCAAAGCGTGCTATGCGACCATGGCCAATATTCCACGGCGTTCCTCGGCAGCCAACCAGCAGAGCAACTAACTTAATTGTCACCTTCAGTTCAAATCAACACCATCCAGCGCATCCAAAACCTCATCGGCCACGCCTCCCTTCTCCAACACCTTCTGCACCAACGCCGCCATGACCAACGGCTTAGCACCGCCTCTCGGCGCCTTCCACACGCCCTCCACGGCCTCTGACTCGGCCGTCCTTGCCTGTTCCTGCTGCTGCTTCTTCTTCTCGGTATCCTTTGCGCCCGCATTCGCTCCATAAGCGCTATTGCTCGCGTTGGGGATACCAGGAGGGGTCAACCGCGAAGGGGGATCGATCGTTCGCACCGATAGAAGGCGGAGGTTGTGTCCTTTTGTCTCTTCGGTGTCGAGGTCCATTGCTGTGGGTTTGCTGCTGCTGGTAGAAGTGGTGGAGGAGGAGGAAGAGGATTCGCCCACGGAAACGGCCAGCGCAACGTCGGCGACGGCTAGCTCCTCCTTGGAAGGGTCGAAGATGATGTTGTTACCAACGGCCATGACGAGAAGGGTGACAGGTGGCCTGGCGGTTGGGGCCGAAGCCGCCTTTTTGGAACCCTTCTTTCCGGTGGGTCTGGGGTACAGGTAAGGAGCGGCGGCCCAGTCGTCGTCGAAGAGGGGATCTTCGTCGCCTTCGGACTTTAGGCGCGGGAGACGGGTCGCAAGGAGGGCGAGATGTGTGGTGAGGGAGAGGAGGGGAAGGGGATATGAAAGCGGTGGGGAGATCAGGAGAATCTGTTAGAATTTCATGTCAGTAATTGTTCTCCGCGAAAGGAGGAGACAGAGAGCATGAGGACATACGTCAAGGTAAAGCTTCCAGTGAAACCTCCGGTTGATCCACAGCCTCTTTGTAAACTCGCCATCTGCCAGCAGCGCTTCGCTAAGCATGGCAGAAAGGAACACAGTCCCCGCGTCGTCGTCTCTGTACCCGGGAATTTCCACCGTCATCTCCACCCAGTCGTTGTCGCCCTTGACCACATCGCGCTGGTTGTCGTCCAAGTCGTCATCGTCCTCGGCGCCTTCATCTAGATCTAGTGAGGGGAAGTCGTGTCTTGTCCTCGTCCTCTCGACTTCCGCCTTAACACCAACAATGGCCTCTGTACCGTCGGCGAAGCAGATGCGCGCGCTGCCGTTGGTGCCAGGGAGAATGCCTGTCTCAGCGACGAGGGGGCGGAACTGTGTAGGAGAACGGCCGTCGGGGCGAATGGGAGGGGTGAGGCTGAGTGAAGCGTGGAGGTAGGCGAGCTCAGCCGGCGAAAGCAGGACGTGTTGTGAGGACGCCATCCTTTTTCGAGATTCGTTGTTCTCGGTTTCTTGTGTTTGTTGACTTGGCTCCTTCTATGCGACGCGGATGCCCCTGGCGCAAAGTGTTTTTAAGATGGATATTTGCGATTGGTTCTTTCCTAAAATGGCGATGGAAGGTCGCAAACACGTCGAATGACTGAATTGGTGTTTCGCCTTTTGGAATCGAGCTGGAGGAGCTTGACAAGTTCTGCCGTCAGTGAGAATGCAATGATGTCTGGATCTGAATTTTTGGAGGGGCCGCTCAGCCTGGCGCCTGCACAGTTGCTTCTGAAGCTCCCAAACCAGCGGCCGGCAATCAGAAACACCCCGGGGGTGTGGTAAGTAAACGCTTCGTTCAGGGGTTTGTTTACTTTACAATGCAAGAGTCTCTATAACCGGTGGTAAGCACATGTCAACAACTGCCATTCAGTACTTCACTTCGAAAGCAACTATCTCGCTTTCAGCTGATCCTCTGCCTCTCATTTTCTTCCAAAAGAGAGTTCAGTTGCTAAGCATTACTTATCGACGAATTAGAGTTCTCGCCGCAAAGGAAATGCGCCTCAAACGATGAGCCGAAAAACAAAATCTGTGAACGAGTGGCTTGACCATAAAACCATAGCACTTTTATGTCTTACAGACAGGGTAAAAGAAAACGGGGTTTTGCTTGTCCATGTTCTCGAATCTTGATCGGTGGTGGACATCGTTACGTTTTGCGAAGGCCGCGTCTGTAAAATTACCAGTACCAATAAGTGTAAGAAACGAGTATCGATCGTAATCATGTAACAGCAGCTGACAGCCAAGACAATCAACGGTCTAGAGGTAATGACAGGTTGGTCGGTTACCACCTGCCCCACCATCGCGCTCATACCGGGACATTTCATCACAACATCTCACTGTCGCGCATTATCACCAGCTTCTGAGATCAACGTCAGGATAACTTTCGTCACCAAGCTGCACTTAGCTCAGGGAGCTTAAGATTAGCTCACACTAAACTTGTCCGATCGGGCTTACAATAACCTCAGCTCATCTTCACTCAACCTCTACGGGCTGCCCCCTGAAGCTGCACGGAACATACACTCGATAATCTCAAAACTCACCACTCCCTTCATAAGTCGCAATGGCATGGGATTCAAAGTCAACAACAGGCCGACGACGAGGCAACAGCGTCGCCTCCAATGCCTCACGCGGCCTCCGCCAAGGACCCAGACCACCCACCCAGCCCAAGTCCGCTCACGTCGCTGACCCTTTTCTCCATGATTTTCTCGGTCCATCCTTCGACGCCGCAGCCTACCTCAACGCCACATTGCCGCCTCTTCAAACATCTACGGGATCTTCTTCAACAGCATCGTCAGCTTCGCGGTCTGCTGCCAACCAAGGTGGTGCCTCAGCCGCCGCAGCGGCCGTGCCACTCTCCGAAGTCTCTCTCCAAGCCCAATCCGTGCTCTCCCAGCTGAACGCACACACCACCCGACTCACCAACACTCTCACCCAACTCACCGACGACATCCTCCGGAGCGGCAGCAGGCTCGCCTACGAAGTAGAGCTCCTACGCGGCGAGACGCTCAGTCTGGCCGAGACTCTTACGGAGGGGTTGCAAGAGGACGTAGCCAAGTTCGTGCCTGGCGGACTCTCTATACCGGAAGCACCCGCACCATCCGCAGCGGCAACCGCTCCCGGTGCTACCATCGAAGGACACCAACGACGTCTATCAGTCGCCGTACCACCATCACAACAACAACCACAACCCGAAACACCCGCCGTCACTACTACAGCCCCAGGCGCCTCAGCAGAAGATGAAGAAGCAGAACCCCAAGAACCTCCACACATAACACAACTCCGCACCCTCACCCTCGTCCGCTCCCGCCTCGACTCGGTAATCCAAACCTTTGGTTCAGCCATCGACTTCGTCTTCCCGCCCTCTGAACTATCCGCCGTCTCCTCCTTTTTATCCGTATCCGCGCCCGCACCGCCTGACTCCTCTGTCTCTAGTGACCCTGACTCGGCAGCCAGCACGGAAGAAAAGGGCCAAAGGGTGTTGCAGGCGCTTCGGGACGAAATTTCTTCCCTTTTGGAGAGTAATAATAACAAAGAAGATAATGATCCGATCAAGGGGATTGAGGAAGCCGCGAAGCGAGTGGGCGAGTTGAAGGAGTTAGTGAAAGTATGGAAGGGCACGGCGGAGGAGCGGGGGAGGGTGAAGTTTGTGGAGGGGCTGGCGAGGATGGTGGAGGAGAGGCATGCGGCTTTGGTGAGGGAGTTGGAGAGCGGTGGTGGTGGTGGTGGTGCGAGGAAAGGAGGGGATACGACCGGCAGGACTGCTGATGCTGAGGCGGCTTTGAGGAGGGTTGTTGGAGGCGGAGAGGCGGAGCAGACATCATCTTCATCATCGTCACAGACACAGACGGAGAGTAAGGGGTTGGGTGGGTATGGGCTGATTAGTCAGTTGAATAAGTTCAGGAATGGGCTGTAATAGCTGGCGCCTTGGAGCTATTTAGGCCGGGGTGGAGGCGACTTGAAGTAGGTCACAGAGAGCACTTTGTGTGTATATCTTCTAGCTCTGCGTCTGGAGATTCATTGTATGGTAGAAGACTTCTTAATGTCAAATACTGGGTACGACCCCCGGCGAAAGTCACTGTAAGACCTCCAATGTCCCATACCTGCCCATCACTGTAGTGCTCAAGTTCTTGAACTCAGTCAGTAATGGGACCTCGCGTAGTTGGATGGACGTCGCGTATATGTTCAGCCGTCTTACAAGTGACTCGGAGCCATATCCCTCGATGATCTTTGGTCCAAAGTATCGATGGATGTTAGTCACTTTTTGTCTAACCGTGCTCTGGAGACTCGTGCTGCCCTGATCATGTCCACCAAGTTGTGATTTCTTCCGAGTTGACAAAACTAGAGAAGGGGACAAGGGCGATGTATAGGATCAGTATGACAGTATGCCTACCGAGTCTTCTTCGGATGAGTGTTGATAACGCCTCTCGGAAGATGAGTCATTTCACGGGGTCGTAAGCGGTAGATCTTCGTCTCCCCATCATCTCTTGTGAAACCTGTATGAGGAGGGCGCAGCGGATATAACGGGGTTAGGATAATATGTCCATTGACATGCTTTTCGCAAGTCTTGCAATACCCTGTCTTGATGTTCTGCGGTTTCCTTGCGTGTGTGCCTATAGGATGAATTCATCAGATCACCCCCCACGCTACTATAGTCTACCAAACCTGAGTAGAGCCACCCAATGTTTCCCTTCTCTCTTGTTCATTCTTACATAAGAGAACCAAATGCGACTCTATAGGCCTCCCGTAAACGCCTAAACATGAATGCAGATAAAATACGAAGGAAAAGGGGAGAGGTTTGTTATGTTAAGAGACAAAGAGACAGTGTGTGCGTCCCAAACAGGCCAGTTTCGGTCAAGACCACGTTATCCGTTGTGTCGTACGATGTACCTCAGTCTTCGCGCGAAGCTGATGAAAGTATCGATCTTCGGCGAACTTCAAAACTGGAACGACTGCCGAAGCAGCTATTGTTTCAACCAGGCTAACCTGCGCGCACCGTCTTGGGGGGCTAAACAAAAATAGACCAGGGGAAAAACAAGACACAAGATTGCGCTGGCTGAGAACTGAGGACTTAAACGCATTCCAAGCTGTATCCAAATGGTCGCCATGTTGGGATGGATTTTGGACTCTCGCTGCTACCAGAGATATTGTGTTGCTTTGCTCTTTGGAGCCCCATATGGTAGGAAGATAAAGACGCAGTAAGTCGGAACGTCAGCAATAAGCCTCAGTACCCATTTGCGGAACTGTCTCCTTGCACACACTGCTCCCGAGACAGCGGAGAGCGACACTATCGCCCCCAAGTATGGCGGTACCAAGGTTACCTCTTGATCGTCGACAGATCTAGAGCTGCTTGAAGTTCTGGCCGTTCTTTCAACAACTCGGTGGCTTCAGCGTATGTGTACCACTTGCGCTCACGTTTGTCCTTCTCAGGCCACTCAGGCTCCTCGCTGGTGACGGTGGCCTCGAAGAATCGGTAGAGCGCGCGCTCCTTCTCCTTGGTAGGATTTTTCTTGGGAGGGCGGGTATCCTGAATATCACCCAAGTCATAGTTGATCTGAACCACGATACCGGCCTCCTCCCAAGCTTCACGGGCAGCAGCCTCGTGACATTCCTCGTCAAGTTCCCATCCGCCCTTGGGCAACACCCAACCTTTTCGACGCGTGGACTGGATCAACATGACGTAGTATTTGTCCGCAGTCAGAGGGACAACGCCGGCAACCAGTCGTTCGCCTTTCGTATTGTATCCTACAAAAGGGAGGGTCAGTTGGACCGACCACAAGCGGCGGAAGCACAGCTCCTGCCTCCTGCCATCTGGATGCCAAGACCGCATTTGGCAAGGAGTGGATGCTCGTGTATTAGTCAAGACTAGAGCGGGCATCTAGAACTCACGTTGCTTGGTACGCCCAGTCCGGGATTCCATTGACCGATTACCACTACTAGTATTGCTAGCCGCCATCTTGCAGAGCTCCCAACAGGTCGGCAGACGACCAATTCCTTGCCAAGTCTTTGTAGGTAGGTTGAATGGGGACGTGTACTACGAGGCGCGCGGAGGGGTTGTTCGGCGAATGTCGTCAAAGAAACGGCGCTCGGTACGTTGAGATATCCGGATAGTCGTTGAAGAGAGTGGTGTCCCGGAGCTTTAGCGCGCGGTGAGCGGCATGATCGGAAAGGTAGGACGGGTAGAAGCTCGGAGAATTACTGGAATGACGAAGCGACACCGGGATGCGCAGAGATGGTGCGAATCGATGGGGGGTCTAAAAAGCTGGTCGTGCGGAAAGAGTGCGTCGAGTGCGGACCAACTTGGAGAAGTGGAAGGCAGACCCGAAATGGGCAATCGGGAAGCTCTCGGAGGTGGTGCGTCTTGCGCAAAAGAGAAGAAGAGAAAAAAAAAAGACGACGGTGTCTCTCGACAGGCGGCGGCAGGCGGGATGGTCTGACGAGTGGTCGTGGTCGTGACGGAAACGGAGGGACCGTCGACTTTTCAGTGTAGCGAGGTGTGGTAGGTAGTGTGGTAGACTTGGCCCAGACACCACGCGACAGCGCAGTGGACGTTGGTGGTCGAGAACCGACGGAACGGAACTTGGATGCGAGGTCGAGGATCTGTCGAGGATCTACCAACCTCAAGACGTGGAACCTTGAGGGGCGACGTCGGAGAAACGAAAGGTGGTGCTTCGCTCGGGGCCAGCCGGACGGGGGGGTTCGCTTGGAAGCAGACTTTTTTTCGAGGTTCCTTTTTAACTCACTGGCACTTTGGCGGCCGGCAACGACGCCCTTTTAGCGGCCTGCAGTGAGAGCCTGAGCGCTTGCTAGAGTGGGAGTGCCAAAGTCCGTACGGTAAGGAAGGTACCTCGAGCCGTTTGGACCTGCCTTGCTTGGGGGCGGGGCACACGCGACCTGTTCTCGTTTTGGGCCAAAAGAAGGAAAGACCACCTGCGCCTGTAGCACCTTCTCAACGCTTCAGTTCCTTCCATCCTGTGCAATGCGCGGGGATGGAATGTTTCGGATCCCAACTCTGCTACCAACTAGATGTACCTTTGAGAGGACGGAAGCCGGTGAATAGGTCACGAAAGCGTGAGGAACCTGGAAACGAAAGCCGGGGCGTCTTTGTTGAAAGAGCCAGGATCTGAAGTGGTGGGCACCTGGAACTTTGAAGCTTCACCCTAACGCCAAGTTCCCTGGTCCGAAAGTAAAGAGGTAGCTACATGAGGAAGAGACCTAGGAACGAGGAAAAGCCGTGAAAACATGGAATCAAAACGATCACGGTAACCCGACAAGAGCTCTCCGCACCTGGGCTTTGCGAGGTAGAGGTAGGTAGGCTCGTAGGGACCTGAAGAGAAGGAAGCTAGCGTGTACAATACCCAATTCGCGATGGCTTTGTTAGGAGCCATGTGCAGGCTCAGCGGATGGTGGTACAACCGCGCAGGAAATATATCCAATGCTCTGGATCCGAGATGCATCGCACTCGATCCAGTCGGGCATTGCAATGCGGTAGGAACTCGTCGCTTCATCTGACAGACTCTGGACATTGTGATCCCATTTCCCCACACATACACGGCGCCGTTGTATTCGGCGGGGCGAGAATTAAGCATTAGGACCCATATTTCTACAGCTTACGAATGGCCAGGTTCGTCAAACGGTTTGAGCTCGGGCCCCATGCCACGTCCGGATCGACATTGACGCGGGCATGGCGGAAGCTTTAATCCATCATCATCCATTCCGGGCGGCAAACCAGGGCCATTCCCCTTTTGTTGGTACTTGGCATAAGGTCGACATGAGCAGCGTTCAAATACACGCTTAGAGCATTTTAGATGAGGCAGACGTTTTTGGTAAAAAGGTACAAAATGTGTCACGAACATGGCCCTAACATGTGAAAAACGTGGGGTAGAAGTCGCGGCATCGGACTCCTATGACAGAGGCTGCCCGACTTGCAGCTGTAATCAAGTGGCAGCAACAAGGCAGCTACGAGCACACCTCAACCTAACCAGGAACTTGAAGATGCCCAGGGCCCTGGAGCCAGAGATATCACTGCTCGCGGGTAACCCATAAAGGAGATTGGTCGTGTGGTCGTATTCTGGAAGAACCTACTACGGATTCCTACTTTTACACCGTGAATGTCCATACACAAAGCGGTTGCAGATGTCTACTCGTCAAAATGGTGCAGCGCCCGGTTGGAGGGCAGCGTATGACGGAACATTGCATAGTCTTACCAACTGTTGTGTACAGGTGCTTCGCAGTTGATTAAACCTTCCGTGGACTCCATGAGAAATGGAATATTACGAGTAATTGCGCGGTAGAACCCAAAGTGGTAATTCCGGCCGGGTTGTACACCATCAGATGCGCCTGACCCTATACGCTAGTAAGCATCCCTTTGATCATCGAATTGAGACAGCTTCGCAGTTCACGCTTTCGATTTGCAGAATTTCCTTGACAAGACCGGGCACAACCAAAACATCCAGAATCACAGTCCATGACTCCGTGTTGTTGTTTTCACCATAGGTAAGCGTCTTTGTAAAGACTGTATTTGTAAGTCACCACCAGTTGGGAAGGTCCCGGTTCTTTGGCAGGAATAATGGCGGGGAGGGCCAAGCACCCGCTGATGGCGTCGTTAGTTGGCAAGGATGGATGCTCAATGTGGGGGTTGCGAACGGTTGCCCCTCCTGCTTTCTGATAGGTAGGCAACTGCCACCTGAAGGCGCCGGCTCATCACCAACACAACACAACAAACGTCCAACGATCATCAACGGGTTTTGTTCTGACTCAAGTCTACTAGGAATTTGGAATAGCCGCGCAGTCATCATCTCCAAATCTCTTGAAGGTGTTTCCTTACACATCATTACGTGCCTAGACGTCTTACATCATCAGATCCAGCTCCTCATCATTCCCCCGGCGGCTCAGAACAGCTAGCAACCTCCTACTGGGACATAGCCTCGATTCAGTACAAATCGAGACCGCATCGAGTCCACAAACAATACCGAACATCCGAGCTCCTAACTTGGTTTCCTATCATCTCACGAATCTCAAAGAAGCTTGTTGTACATCAAGCAGACGCCTGGAGGCTGTACCCCGTTCGGAGGTGCTCGTTGCCTGTTCCACCGACAGACTGGATATCGATTCAGCAACAGCGAGACCCGTTGCAACATCCCACACCACGCCCAAAAGGAAAAAGTTCCACGGCACACTTCAGTTACCTTTTGTTCGAGCTCCGAGAAGACGAAACTTCCTGGCTCCCCATCTCCGAGGGAAGACCACCTGAGCTTCTGTCCTCCCCGCTTAGACGACCATGTACAACACAAGCAGCATGCAGACCCCTGACGACGCTGAGGCGCCATTGTCCTTTATATTCCCAATTGGTAAGCTGGTGGTTTCCTTACTTCTCACCCAACCATTCTGGCCATGTGCGAGATTCACACAATATCGTTGGCCGCTCTCGTTGCTCAGCGCCGAAAAGGAGCCACATTCGTTTCCTATCAAACCTGTCCATAGCATTTAGTGCCAAGCGGCATTTTGATGCTCATGGAGGAATACCAGATCATTTGTCTTACAAAAAGACTCATGACGTCCGTCACTCTACCTCCCGGCAAACAGTCATACCAGCCCCAGGAAACAACTCATCTCATATGCTTTGCGTTGTACTCATGTCCTGAGTCAGTCGCATGTGCTCTCTAGTACGGTTGAGCTACCCGAAAGACGGGTGTTATTTGGTTCGGGGGTTGTGTCACCACCCATGCATTTAGGCCCGAGTGTTTGTCACGAAGCAGGTCAACGCCGAACGAAGATGTTTTGCCAGTTGAGATCCGAAGGAGTCATTGTTTTGGCCATGATGCTAACCGAGAGTGAATACTGTAGGGTATAGCAGCGCATCTGATTGCGGTTATTGTCGAGGGACTTCCCGTGCAGGTAAACGAAAACGTAAATGGAATTTCCATTTCGACCCTATCACGCCCACTACTCTCCCATCTTTCCGTATTTCCCGAGCACTACCGAGTCCCTTCCCCCTGGTGTCATACATGTCACACGATAGGCCTCATTAGTCTGGGTTCCTCAGTTTGTGTGCCCGAGGCCAAGAAACAAGTGCCCAAATGGGATACGGTTGGATCTAAGGCCTACGTCTAACTCGCTTTAACACAGGTTACTCTTACTATGCTACGAGCAAGTCCTTATCAACGCACCTATATCAAAAGCTAGTTGATCGGTATTGGAGACGGTCCGGGACTCTTCTCTACAGGCCGAACCCGAGAAACTCTTGTTGTCCCCACTATACTCTTCGCCTGGACTCAACAGAGTTCAAATCTTCAAAAGACCAGCGGCAAACTGTCAACCGGTTCAACAACTACGTTATCGGTCCTGAGTACACACATGCTGCTGCCCGTCTTCATCCTCGCACGCGCCAGGAAGCACGGAAACGGCACAATGAGTTCGATTTGATTGACAGAATCCATGAACCCGAGGCACAATTTCTGAAGACACCTCCAGAGCCAGCCCACAGGTTTACTGTCACATTGGAGCCAGACGAGTTTACGGAGGAAAAGTATCTCATCTTTGAGAACTATCAGAGACTTGTTCATAAAGAGGGCCCAGATAAGATTTCGCGCCACGGGTTCAAGAGGTTTCTGTGCAATTCACCTCTTAAGCGTGAAACCATTTACGGTTCAGACGGCGTACAACGGCTGGTGGGCTCTTATCACCAGTGTTACTGGCTGGACGGGAAACTTGTTGCAATAGGGGTGTTAGACCTGCTTCCTCACGCCGTCAGTTCGGTATATTTTCTCTACCATGAGTCGTTTCACTCACACAATCCAGGCAAGCTCAGTGCCATGCGAGAGATTGCCTTGGCTCGAGAGGGTGGCTATCGTTGGTGGTATCCGGGATTCTACATCCATAGCTGCCCCAAAATGAAGTACAAGATGGACTTCAAGCCTCAGTCTGTCCTCGACCCCGAGACACTCACCTGGGACTTGATGGACAAGGAGGCGTTGGCTGTTTTTGACGCGAAACACTACGTCAGCCTTTCCAGGGAGCGGCAACGAAAGGAGTCCGGGGATTCCCCCAGGATCTTCGAAGACCATTTCATTCGGCCAGAGAGTGACGGCGAGGGTGATGAGGAAGAAGGGGACTTTATGCTGGGCAGCAGTATGCCAGGCATTCCCTCATTGGAAGACATGAAGCAGGTGGATATGGACAACTTAGTCCTTGTTTCAGATGCTGCCCCCGGCTACTTTCTGGCTTCCGACTTGGTCAGTTGGGAACAACAAGATCTCGAGTTAGAGAGCAGGACGATCAAATCAATGATCGCAGAGCTGGTGGCGGCGATGGGGACGGACGTTATGGACGAAATTTGTGTGGATTTTCGGAGGAGAACTCGTGTGTTATAGTATAGGCATACGAGAGAGAAGAGCAACGAAGGGAGTTGAATAGCGTATACATAGGATATCTTTCCAGCGCATTTTCATCTTTTGGTACGGGCATATCCACGCAACTGAAATGAATTGCTGGCTAAAATTTCAGGAATGGGGGCACGATGTTTGGTGGTAAGTTCCTTCCCCTTTAACAGATCGCGCGAAATGTTCCTTCCTTCCTGGGCGGTTTGATACATGTTGAACGTCAAATCCGGCAGGGACGACACCCGAGTGCATTTACGACGTGCAATATCGCTGAATTGCGACTGGAGGACAGCTCGTAGCTGAAATTAAACGTCATTCATTATGGAGCCGAAAAGTTTTGTTGCTTTCCTTGGATGCGCCTCGGACTGGGAGGAATGGTGAGGGGCGAAGGTAGTCTTCTTTCACCACAACATCTTTCGGGTTGCGTGGACCGAGTTCATAGTTCGCTATGTCTCCTTTTCCAGCAAACTTCATCGTCTCTGCTGCCTAGACTTGTATGTCTACAATGGAAGGAACGACAGTCAACCTAGGAAGCATCACAGTTGCCCGCAAAAACTCGCCCTTATCGCTCGAACTGACAGCCTCTTTCCTCATCGACTCGGAAACGACTGCTCTGGGGTTGAACCAGCTAACCGCAACCGACTTGTTCCAACACTCCAAAGACGGAAATTTATGGATGGCAAAGTCGGGATCTTGCCAGCTTGTATTCAAGACGTTCATCAATGGTCAGCTACCAGATCCGAACGTGATCAATCCGGCTATCATCTCATCTCTAATCGGTATGGCTGCTGAGTGCTCGGTAAGTCTCACGATATCCTCCGGCACTGGCGGGAATCCCGATCGCTGACTTGTGGTTTCCAGCTTTGGGAAGAAATTGGTCTCCAGCTTAGAGCTAAGCATTTGACACTTCCGTTTGGTTCCCAGGAGGAAGACCAAAAGCCGGAGACTTCCTACTTTCTCTGCCACCCGGATCTCTCCTCCGAGATGATCGTACCGCCCACGCTAACTTGCGTAAAGTTCAAAGGCTTGGTGTGCAAGGTCAATCTTCAGATTGATACATCGTGGAGGAGAGCGGGTGAGGCTAAACGACCGTCAAAAAAAGTCAATGAAGAACCCCCGATGGAATCTGAGCCTCCTATGGTTGAAGAGTCAAAGCCCGGCATGCGAAGAAATCCAAGACGGATTACGAGGGCCGCTAATGTCAAGTATACGGACACTTCGCGAAAACTGGCCAGGAAAGCCTGCCCTGTCACTCAACCAGATCCCGTAAACTCGGACTCAGATATGGTCATTCTACTCTCGATCTCGAAAGAGGAAGAGGAAGAGATGTCATCATTCCTGGACGTCGCGCTTCGGAAGCTTGTAGGAATCAAGCACACTTCCCCTGGGGTAAAGGTTACCGAGGACACACAATTTCCCTCATTGATAGAGATTGCGCCGGCGGTATGGAATCTTCGTTACTTACAGGCATGTAAAGCCATACATGGTAGGAGTGTCGCTACTTGGATAAGGGGCTGACAATAGTTTGTAGTCTATGACAGCACATGCGCAAACGATTCCGGCCATCGCCAACGGGATAGCCAGATTGCGCAACGCCCGATCAGCAACGCTGAGGGAGAAGGTGGGCAGGCTACTGGGAGCTGAAGCTGAAGCTGTAAGCAGCACGCTAGGGCACCCATATGATCCCGAAGATGGAACCAGAAAGGAAGTCGAGAAAAGGCTGTGGTCGTTATGCCAGACGAGTATCCATGTCGAACCTATCGTCAAAATCAATAAGCGAAAAGCCAAGGTTGATGGAGAAGCACCGGCAGATACACAAGCGGAGGAGAGGATGGAAGCATTCACTCGACTGACTGATGATGGTTGGGTGAATCATCCTCCATCTTTCGGTCATGATTACCCTTTTGGTCATTTCGATCAAGGCACAGACACAGAGACGGAGACGGACACAGACGCAGTTGAGTACGGCTATCAATACCAGCTGGGAAATGTCGCCCTTTTCGAGGACCATGCGGAGTGGTTGTCCGAGGATCACAGCGAGGAAGAAACTTACGGTGAGCGCGAGGTCGACTTTGAGGGTGATGATGATGGAGAGGATATGGAGCTCGACGAGCTCCAGCCGAGTTCCGAAGGTGACTACGTCTATGCAGATGGATTTGGGAGGCTTCATCCGATTCCGAGGCACCAGGCATTACAAGCATGTCAGATAGAAGGTCCAACTCTAACGAGTGATGAGCTGCCTTTTGGAGAGGAGGATCATGAGGAGTTTGGGGATCCGGAAGAGTATTTAGGAGGATATCTAGAATGGGGTTTTGCATAAAATTATAGATTTGCGTCATCCATGACCAAGTTCTCTAACAGTCACAAACAGTCCGTGAACAATATACCACAAGTTTCTTCAAAAGGTGCTGGAACTTTCAACAGAGCGGATATGTTGCGCCGCAAATCTTTCGCTGTATATACTGACAGCCCCAAGCCCGCAACTCCATGATAGATATGTTTTCCATTCGCTAATCAGCCAGGCATATTTCCGCGCATCGAGAGCGATGTCGCTTCCTAGGGGCATTTCTCCCACCAGGGGATCACGAAGCATATCCAATCGGTGAGGCATCCATCCTCTACTGCGCGTCATGTCCCTAACAACTTCGAGGGGAAGAGTTCGACCAACATAGTGATCTCTTGCCGAAAGAGAACCCGATCGTCCGTCAATCCGTCGAAGTCGGTGTTGCAAACCCCTCAGAAAAGGCACTTCGTCCGTTGATAGCTTCCCCCTCTTCTCGTCATCGTTCATCAAAAGGTCGATTTTGAACATCCACTGCTCCTTTCCCGTCCGCGTTCTCCTTTATCAGCCTGCAACTTCTTCCCGCGCATCCTCCTCCTTCTCAATCTCAACCCCCCGCCTTTTCCCCTATCCTTTCATTTCATCCCTCCTCGTCATCTCATCTCACCATCCTCTCATCACCTCGTCATCTCATCTCACCATCCTCTCACCTCCCCCCACCCGGCGCAGCCTTCTTATTATCTCCCGGGCCTGCGGCCCCCTTCTTTTTCTTGTTCTTGGCCGCCCGCTGCTCCGGCTTCAGCGTCGCGTAGTGGATGTACCATATCAGCACGATTTCGAGGATGACGGCAATGAGCACGACAACGAGGATGGTGAAGAGGATGGGTTGGTCGTTGAGCACGGCGACGGCCTGAGGGGTGGCGCCAATTTTGAGGAACCAGTCGAATTGGCCCATATTGCTATGTGGTGAATTTGGGTGTTTGGTGGTTTGTCGGTCGGTTTACGGGGTGAAAGTATGAAAGTGTGTGATGTGATGAGTGGCGCAATTGGCAGTCGCTGTGCTCGGGTATTATGCGATGATGTTGTTGGGGATGATCGATCAAGATGAGATGGTTATTTCGATAGCAGGTAGGTAGCCGCCAGGGCGTTTCGTTGAATTCGAATTAAAAAGTTGAGATAGTATTAAAGTGAATGGTATGCTGCTCGATATGTAATTGGGCTTTTGCTTGCGCCGCGCGACAATGAGAGAACAATCGCGGGTGATGAAGTTATTCACAGTCGCTGATTGTGGAATGTGGACATGCAGATCAAGAAAGATGGAGAATAAAAGAAGGAAAGCCAGAACCTCAAAAGAAACTCGGAAGAAAAAGATACTCACAGTCCCCCCTTTTATCACAAGAGCCAGAACCTACCAGGAACATGAAACCAAGGACGTCACATTGAGGAGAGGCACAAGTCGAGATCTCAGGCGACTGACGGCGCGTGTGCTGTTTCAGACTTTCAGAGCTGCGACAGAAAAAGGGTCTCCTGTCAGATTCAAGGGTGGTTTTAGCCATACCATATGGAGGTTAGCGCTCCAGCCACCTGATATTACCTGATTTCTGGGCATATTTGGGTTACCCTAGTACCCCCTATACCTTCTAGGCGAATCAGTTATATATACTCTTCAATTAATTAATTCTACACTGTTATATTTGATAATTAATAGTTTGATTTGCGTATTTACATTTAATACTACGATTATCGATTATAAGTAAGATCTTTACAAAATTAATAACGTTAATTATATTCTTATTAAAGGAATTTACCGATAAGGCTATTACCATTATTCTCAATACCCTTACTGACTGGCCCAATTAGTATAAAGCTTTTAAGAGATTTGCTGGTAATAATTAGGATTTTGGTAATTAGTTAGTTAAGGGAGGATTTATAATTTAGAGGGTTTTACCCCCGAAGCTAGAAGACTTCTTCCTTACTAAGTAAGTAAAGGATTGCCTTCTAGCGGTAAAAAAGGAGTTCGTTAGATTTAATAGAGGAATCCGGGTTAAGAAAGCTATAATTATAATTGTAATAATTATTATTACTATAGTTATTAATACGAACAGTACTATTACCAAAATTATTATTATTATTTAATTTTAAGAAGAAGCCGCCGCCGGCGCTAACGAAGACGATAAGGAAGGAAATTTGAAAAAAAAAAGACGAAAAAGAGGAAAAGTGTAACGGCGCTGGCGGACTGGGTCTGGGTGCCATATACGAAGGTGGTTTACGAGGGTGCTAGAATGAAATATATAGAGGATTCTGGGCATGGTACGGTCCAGGGGATGCGAGCTCTTCAATTAGCCATACCAAGACTGGCTGCAGGGTTTACTATGTAAGTAAAGGGGATACGAGTAAAGGGATTAGCTAATAACGACCCGTATATGGGTTCTGCTATCACTTATACGACTAAGGTATTTATTTGGGTCTATACGCTTATACCTAATTCTTTTCCTCTTTTTTTTTCCCTATTTAAAATCTTCTATTATAGATAGAATTTTAGCTTTACTTTCGACTTACCTATATTGTACCTTATATTATTTCAAATTAATTAATAATTATTTGGGAAGGTTAAATCCTAAACCGAAAATAAAACTAGAAAGATCGCTCGTAAGAATTCAAAGTACTAAATATTTACGACGATAATACGATAGTACTTTGACGCTAGATATATAATAGCGCTAGTAGTTGTGAGGGTATTAAATAGACTGAGAATTACGATGACGATCGTTACGAGGAAGCTTCGGACGATGACGACGATTTTAATGATACTTTCTTCGGAGAGGAGGGTAGAGATAACGACGGAGAAGGAGGTTCTAGTTTTTTAAATACCGACCTTAAGTAAGAGAAGGATACGGTTATAAAATTGAAACTTAAGAAGAAGGTCGCTATTAGTAATAAATGTAAACTTATCAACCTTATTATTAAAGATAACGCGTATAAGGCCGTACAATTTAATAAGGAGTGTTATAATAGCTTCTATTTAAATGAGGAACGCTCCTATAGTAAATTTATAATCCTTCGTAAGAAATCCCTATATTATATATATTATTAATTAAAATTACCCGACGAAGTATTAGCTAATGCGGTCGCTAATACGGGAAAAGATAATAAAGAGCCCGAATTATCTTTTGATTTATTTAATTAATATATTACAATAGTGGTCGAAAATACTAAAACTTTCGATATTCGTTTAATTAGGTATAAAGTTACTAACGATTTAAAATAGAAAATAGAAGAATTTATTGAATTATTTATCCGTAATTCCGTCACTAACGTTCCTTTCTAAATATTACTCCCTTCGAACCTACTAATTTCTAACTATTTAATTGAAGAAAAGTTCGCCGAATTATACTATAGAAACCCCTAGGTTATATTTTAGGAATTTAAACTATTGTTTATTATAAGTATAGTATAAAAGGAATAAGTATTAGAATTTTATTACTTCGTCTCCTATTTAAACGTTAAATTTAAAACTATTTACAATTAGATCCCCGCTTTGGTCGACTATTATAGCGTTACTACCCCTACTATAGTTTAATAATTGAAGGATTCTTTTGTAGAGAAGGAAAATACTATTGAAGGATTGAAAGATTTTATCGCTAATTTAAATATTGGTAAAAGAATAATTAAAAATAAGAATAAGGGAAAAGTTAAAAAAATAGTACTTCCTAATATTAAGAAAAACGTTAGCGAGGTTCCCATTAAAGCTTCTACCCGCTTTTCGACTTTACCCTCTGAAATTAACCCCGATAATAGAAAATACTTTAATTCCTACTACTATAGTATTAAATAAACCGACCCTACTAAATATTATAATTAGGATAAAGAAGATAATATTCCTTTCGAGGTTTAGTACGATTTAATTGAAAACAAATTCGAAATTAAAACCAATTATTATTTAATTAATTACGATAAATTTCTATACGTTAAGAGTCGCTTAGTTAGTTACACCTATTACAATTTAATACTGTATTTACGCGAAACCTACCCGGATTAAATTAAAACTTATTCTAATTTTATACCTTATTTATAGTATCAGTACTATAACCCTAATTAGGAGGAGAATACGCTCTAGAAGTTTACTAAATTAAAGATAAAAAATAACGATATTTTCAATTTCTTTAAAAATAAATTTATTCGGATAGTTAGTGAATATTAATGTTCTAAAACCGAATAGAAGCGTAAATTATTTTAACGCCTTCTAATTGAATATAAGAAATAAATAGGTGCGAAGTATTATGATTCTTGTATTTCTTTTAAATTTTATTATATAGATTGCTTTGGTTTTAGATAAGTATTGAAGATTATCGCCGACGAAAATAAAATTACTTCTAAAATTAGTAAGAATAATAATTCTAGTAAAAGTAATAAGGGTTCTAATTTTGGCTCTAGTTCTACCCCTAAGTTTATTAGTGGAGGAGGCGGAGGCGCCGCCCGTTAAGGTAGTAATTATAAAGAAATTATTTAATTATTTAATAAGGATATATATTTCCTTTGTAAAGAGAAGGGTTATATTAAGTACGATTATTCCGAAAAGGAACGCTTTGACCGCGAGCGCCGCGATTGCGTTATTACTATTATTAACCGTTATTTAATTTACGAGAACGGAGGTAATTAAGGAGCTTTAGCCGCCCTAACTACTATTTTAACTATTATTAAATAGGGAAATTAATTACTTTAAGTAAATTAGATTCTTTCTTAGGAGAGGTGTCGGTTATAGAATAATAGAAAAGGGATAAATAGGAATATAAAGAAAAGGAAGGATTTAATGTATTATCCTTCTTAGAAGGAGAACTCTTATTTATTTAATATATTTTAATTAATAATAGAATCTTATTATTTACATTTAATGTTTTAATTAATATAGTAATAAATAATTATTTATTTATTAATACCGCCTTTATTAAAAAATTAAAGAAACGATTATTAGTAGAATTTATAAATAATTTTCTAATTCGAAGAATTAGCGACTATTAAGGAAAAATAAATTAAAGTATTAAAGAGATTATTAAAGCCGTCTTAAAAATTTAGAATTGAATTACCTTGCCCGATTATCTTATTATAATTAATATAACTTATAATATTATTATTGGTCGTAAATAGCTCGACCTCTAAAATATTTAGGTAGATTATACGAACCGTCGTTTACTTTTTCCCTCCGAATAGAAATTAGATTCCGATTGGTTAAAGTATTTTAAAGTTTAAGATATCGCCCCCAATAAAGTAAACCCTATTTATTAGAAGGATGTAGATTACTACGATCGGTTAATAGTTTAAAAAAATAAACGATGAATAGATAGAAAAAATAGCGGACGAACGGTTACCCGTTTTACGAACGGATGTATTTTTACTGAACCTATTTTTAGTAATTAACTTTTCTCTCATTATTCTAAGAGAAAATTCGATTTTAAAGTACGAGATTAATATAGATGTAAAGCCTACTAATATTAGAAGGATATTGAAAAACGTATTTTTAAATTAGAAGCCGCTTTTAATTAAAAATTAAAAATTATACTAATTATATTTAAGAACTTTAAATATACCCGGGACGAAGATATTGGAGAATTAGGTTATATCCGATTACGTTATTTTTTAAAACCTTACTATAATTTTTAAAAAAATTAATCCCCTAAGTAAAATAGAATATAATTTAATTAACTTTATTTACTTTATAGTATTATTTTTAGAATCCGAAGTATAACCTTGCTATTGAAAATAGTCCGTCGACGGAAAATAGGGCTTGGATACTTAAGGTATTTATTAATTAAAACGCGACGGTATGGGTTAATATATATATTGTCCTACCTAAATATATATATTAAATGGAAACTTTTTCCTACGGTCCGTAAAAAAAGATAATTTAGTCGCTTATTTAATAATACTTTCGAAATTAATTAGTTTATTTAATAAAAGAAAATCGCCGAAGACCTTGCTTAGGAACCTTTACCCTATGATAAAAGGGAATTCTACGAGGAAGTTATTCGAATAATCCCCCCCCGAATATTATAATAAGATTAAAGTTTTTAGTAAATATAATTCGAATACGTTATTTAAAT